AAGAACTCAAGAAGTTAGAATTCAGATAGAGTTGGGTTTTTGCTGTCAGAACTCCCGAATCGTTCAAACAAAGCTACTGCGGCTTGTGGATTTGTTAGCGCTGCCAGTCCACATCACCGGTGAGTAAGCTGGATGGTCATTCCGCAGGAACTATGGGAAACCAACCAGGAACATGATGATGTCAGATGGGTTTAGAGCTGATTCGGGCTCAGAGCATGTGAGAGACAAACTCCATTTTTGAACCTTAGCGACTTTATCGAGATGTCTCAGTACTCTCACCTTGTCACACCAAAAGCGCTCTGACTACAGCGCTCACTTTGTTCAGATAACTTTTGCATGGCGCCGGATAGCTCATAGAAATTGACAGTCACGGGTTGTTTGTAGTGTGGATCATCTTCGAATAAAAAGAGAGAAGTAGAGTGTAGAAAGAGAGAAGTAGTGGGTAGAGTTAATCACCAGGTGACCGTGGGTTGAGAAGCGTGTCCTCAGCTATCTTCTGGTTAATCCTCCATATAGCTTGGCGCGTGGAAGATCCTAATCGGTAGTCATGAAGAAAGAGGCTCAGAAATAGGTTTCAAAGAAATTGGAATCCTAGCTAAAGAAAGCAACAAGCAAACGAGATGGCTAGCCTGTCGGATAGGCGAGCTTGTGTGCTGGTTGCAGGACATCTTGGAAAGCTTCAATACTTATCAAAAGATTTTTACAACAATACATGTAAAGTGTCTCAAAAATATATGCCGACCTATTATTTTAATGTTGAAAAGCAGCCTTTTTGGGGGGAGTAGCTCCGAAAACTCATGTAAAAAAACGGACCAACTAGACGATTTTTAAGCGGTCTGTTTGCAAACAAATTTGGGTATTCTCAGAAATTAAGCTCTAACCATCCAGTTTCCTCCAATACAGTGCGCGTCAATTGCTTATGCCACCCCCTGATTTTTTCAGTTTTCTGACTTATTTGGAAATTTCGTAAATCGGCATAGCAACCATCGTTTTCGGCGTGTCGGAAAACTAAGAATGGTGTTGTTTGATTTTGGTTAACGCGTGGATTTGAATTGCTCTGTTCTTTTGAAGAAAATGGGCCGCGTCAATTGCTTATGCCATCCTAAAGTTTCTTCAGAATTTCTCATGTCTCTAACGCTATTCAGCTACGGTGTGCATGTAATACAAATGAGGAAATCCTCCACTTATGCAATGCACACAAATGGTGGAGCATTTATAACTAATTAGTTCGGAATATTAGCCCTTATACTGGACGGTAGCAGCATGAAAACGCTTTATCAGAGAAAGAGCTGTGTGCTCACTTTGCGATCGCTCCTGCTGCTTATTGTAGAACTCATCGAGGAGTGTATCCAGGCAAATGAAGTCCATCGAATAGTTATCAACGCAAAACGTGAAGAATTGACGTGCTCAGGTAGCCTTCAAATCAATTTTGGCGCGTTAGAGCCTGGACCAATTTATTAGTTCGGCTTAACGCAAGGCTAAAGACGTTCAACGCTCACGAACCCGTTGGAAGGAATATGAAGCGTACTCGCATCGGCTAGACCCATTCGCGATCTGATCGACGTTCTCGGATAAAGCGTGCAATGAGGGCCATACATCACTCGGTGTTCCGTCATAGTACAATCCGCTCAATGTCTCATGTCATTCAATTGCTACGAAAAATTTTCCAGGAGTGAATCCGATCAAGTTCGGCGATGGCTACCAGGCGGATTGTGGGTACGATCCATATTCGCTCTGAACAGACTTTGTGAGCGTGAACGCTTCGAGCTTCGCGGGAGCCGAGACCACAAATAAAGTTGACCACGGATTCGAAGCGGGAAAATGAGAATTTAAGGCTCCTTGAGCACTTCAATTTCCCCAGTTTTGCCTGGATACACTCCTCGATGAGTTCTACAATAAGCAGCAGGAGCGATCGCAAAGTGAGCACACAGCTCTTTCTCTGATAAAGCGTTTTCATGCTGCTACCGTCCAGTATAAGGGCTAATATTCCGAACTAATTAGTTATAAATGCTCCACCATTTGTGTGCATTGCATAAGTGGAGGATTTCCTCATTTGTATTACATGCACACCGTAGCTGAATAGCGTTAGAGACATGAGAAATTCTGAAGAAACTTTAGGATGGCATAAGCAATTGACGCGGCCCATTTTTTTTTCAAAAGTACAAAATAATTGCAAATCCACGCGTTAACGTAGAATCAAAACAAACATCATCTCAGTTCTTTCTACACGCCGAAAAACGATGTTTGCTTTACCGATTCCAAGTTCCCTGACAAGTCAGAAAACTGAAAAATCAGGGGGTGGTATAAGCAATTGACGCGCACTGTCGTGCAGAGATGCAAAAGTTCCGAAGAATGTTATTTTTAAATCAAAACCGGGGCTGCTATTGCCGGAAATCGGTTCGCAAGTTCCAACGAGCCAAAGGCACGATGCACATCAATTCTGAAACAGGATAAGATATTCGTTATGAAGCTTACACCTGCTTAGCCTTGCCAGAGTGCGTAAAAAGTGCAGAAAGTTCAGTTGAAGAAAGTTATAGTAAAATTGTAAGCACAGAAACTTATGAATAGAAAACCGTAAACAAATCTGAGGCATACACTTAACGAAATGAACATTCAGCAGAAGAGCACATTTAGAAAACAAACAAATCTACAGTTCGCGAAATTTCTTGGCATCCTTACCAATTTCTTTTCGTAGAAAATGAATCGGCTTCCAAGTGCAGTAGTGGCCTTCTGTGAAAGTCTATGTGAAGTTTATGAGCTCTAAAGATACTTTTTGGATTTTTGAGTTTGATATTGTACAGACTTACCACGCCTGAAAAAAATGTATTATAGATTGCACAGCACATTTGACAATTAAAATGAAAACAAAAACAGCATGAACAGAGCAGCACGACCGGGACGATTTTTATATGACGGTTTTTTGATTGTGGAAGTGTGATTAAGAGTAAAGAACCACTTTCTCAGAACTAAAGCAGAAAAATGAGATTCGAAAGAAATGCTGTAAGGCTTTCCGGGCAATCTAACCGCCGAGGTTTACAAGAGGTGTTAACTAATCGTAATGCAATCGACATTCGGTTTCGCCTAGTGGAAACAAGACTTACGCAGTTACCGTTTGGATGATACGACTGGAATCTCATATTCTATGTCCATAACTAATAAGAGGTTCATATGCAACATCGAAAGAAGCTAATATTATACTTCTTGGTGTTATTACATGTATGCCATAAATATGTTAAAGCGAGAAATTACGATAAAATTTCTGTGCAGCATGGAAGAACGAGCAGCACTTCAAGCAGTAGCTAGAGCCCAAAGGAATCGAGATGTGGCCTTTTTGTGACTAAAGGTGCGCTCGTTGCAGCGCCCTGGGGCTGCCAATCCTTTCTGAGCTCCGCCTCCGCCTGTGCTCCGCCCCTCAGCAGATCGCTGTTCGATTATCATTCTGATAAGGTATGCCACTTCGAGCGCGTATCCAATTTTTTTCTCATGGAATGCTATATCAATCAAGGTATGATCTCTGGTGGTATGATGGCAGCTATGGTTTAACGAGTGCCGACGACCTCTTAGTTGGTTGCCAACTCGTCCATTATCGGAGGTCAACGGGCAGAGGAAGTGGTCCCATTTTGCGCGTTTTTGACGGATTTCTTTGCTTTTTTCGCTACTAGGGCATTATTCAGCATCTTCACTTCCACTATGAGCACAGATATATCGCTAACTCTTCGTCTTAAGCGAAATTTGGGAGCCATCCGATCACAAACTAAGGAACTAGGAAGCTGTGGAAGTAGGCGCAGCTTCTCAGTACTTTGCCTTATGCCGAAAAAATTCCAAAATTCTTAGATATGTTGAAAAGTTTATGAACTTGCACAACATTATATCAAACGCCCTTGACGGTGGCAATCGCCGTCATCAATTCAAAGGGTTATGTGCAGCCGCGTTTGAGTTTAGCACGCGAAAAGCTCTCCTTTATTATTAACCATTCATCACTTAAGCCACATTTCTCCCCTTTTGAGCCCATCAAAATAATTGGATGCGTGTTGGCGATCCATCATTCGAGACACCCGCGTTTTTCGTTTCATCAATCTGCGGAACATCTCGCTTCGCAACGTTAACGCCAAACCGAAGAAAATTCGCTGGTATGCGAGAGTCTGAAAAAATTTCTAGGTCATTTTGAGTTCTGCGCTGTAAATGTAGAAAAATAAATTACCAAATCGAACGCGTGACTTATGTGTGTTGTGTCATGGCCGAGTGGAATATCGGTGAAAAATACCGAATACGCAGTAAGTGCAGCCAGCACAGCCTGCAACGATAAACCATGAAAAGGTAAGCCACTCATCGAGAAATTGAAACTATACTTACAAAAGAATCTAAAAAATTGGAGACCACTATATTTACTTTGAAAGCTTTGAGACTAAGCCATGTCTTGCACTAAAGAGATTCGAGCCTGCTTAGAAAATATGTAGGTGGCAGGACCACATTTGGTAGATACTCGAGCCAATCGCAGATTAATATCCTTCATGTGCGAAGGTGCAGTCTGATTCATGGAATGAGCATTTGCTTCTCCTGACAAGTTCTCATTCTGTATCCACACAGGAGTGCTGGCGCAGGGTACTGCATAAACTTGTGGCTGTAGCATTATGCAATGCAACTGGATGATTACGGAAATTTGAACTGAGTTGATTCAGCAGAAAAAAGTTATAGTCGAGAGCGTGACTCTACGCAGAAGCTCGTGGAAGCGAATTCCCTGCGCTTGCTTTGGAAACCAGGCCACTCACAATGAAATCTTTGAAGGAAAATATTACTACCTTGCACAAGAAGTCGTTCACTGCAACTGGAATATAATATTTTCCACAGCGGATATTCTCATCTAATTGGTATTTGTCTGCTAACCGCATCATCGACTCATGACGTTTTTGATATATCGATATACTGAATCTTAACATCACAACCAATGCCTAAACAAAGAAATTTTCATGTTGCACGCTACTAGTAGCTTCTGGTTATTAAAAATGTAGCAAGTTGCAACCATCGATCCACTCGCTGGCAGTATTTGTCGCAACCGGTGTGGCTTCGGTGCTATTACCATTTGGGGACAACATTTTCTCTTAGTATTGTGCTGTCCCGGAGCCTCATCAGCACCTAAATATTGTATAACACAGAGAGGCACCAAAATTTTATTTCAAAAGAATTCCAAAAGTTCACAAAAAATTCAAAATTCCAAAAACTCCAAAATTCCAAAAACAAAAAAGCAATTTGAAAAGAATTCCTTTGAAATCTTCTGCGATATTTCGGTGTTAACACCTTCGTCAGGCCCTAAACTGTTAGCTGGCATAAAGTAAATAGGTGGGGTGTTTCCACCAAACCCATTATGTAGATACCTTCTGTTTCATGCACAACCACACTGTGTCACAATCAATATATATTCTTGCCACAGCTAAGTATAAAGCTGCCTTTACGAGAGCCGCGCCGTTAAAGTAGAGCTAAATGACTTAGCCTCAGCCCTCTGGTTTGAGTCACCCCCCTCCGCCCTCCCCCCCCCGCTCCCCCCCCAGCCCCTCCCCCCTCATCCTCCGTTAAGCCCCCGGATTAGTCCCCAAGAGCCAGTCTCTTTCTAGAGTGAACGGGATAGGGTCTCCAGCGTAGTAGGCACCCCGACACTGTCGGACTGACTCCAATATTAGGACACCTGCGAGGGCGCTACAAGACCAAGGCAATTAAGTGCTACTGCGCGGTTGCTGGTCCGCAGCGTTATTAACCCCCCGCCATCTCTTGTGTTCTGCATCCTCTCACTACGCACGTACTATTTCGTGTTTCCCCGCCCGCCCCTCCGTTGCAAGCACACGGTCTCTCCGGGTCAATACACCGGGCTCGCAACTGGAAATCTTAGTGTTTTTAATGTGGCTGTTCTGTCTTTTTCCCCGCTCTTTGACTACGCTCGTTCCTCCCATTTGCACTCCTTCGCCTAATTTTCCGGGACAAAATAATGCATTATTTCAATCCTCGACTCGTGCCTTTTGAGTGCGGAACAGACTTGATCACACCTGCAATGTGTATTGAAAATTACGTGGCATTGCAGAAAAATCCGTATGGTTAGTTAGTGGCCTCTGTGAATAGCTGGTCGCTCCACATTTTATATTCGGGTGATATTTCTTTACTTCCCTTTCCAAATGTCTCCCATAGTTCCATTTCCACGACTCCGGTTTTCTATGCAGCGGCGGTGTAATCCTTGATGCCAACGGGGTGGGTGCGGGGGCGGCGGTGTTATTTGGTGCTGTGCTCTGAGAAGCCGCTGTGATAGTCAAGCTTGAGTTTTGGTAACGCCTTTCGGTGCTCGTCCCAAAACGGCTTGTATAAAAGGAGCACCTATTGTGACATTGCCCCCAGACATGACTTATGTTCGCATAACTGGCCATTCGTATTCATTACCGTAGAACTGATACGGCCTGAATTTATGGCAAAATTTCTGTTTGCTGGTTGACAGTAGATAGCCCACACACCACCCCTCTCTGCCGAACATTTTTCGCTAACTAATGCGCGGTCTTGACAGTAGCGAGTTTCTGATAACACTGCCCGAATTTAGGAGAAGTGATCGAGCCAAGCTACGTGAATAAGCTAACTCTAACGCTTGCACGACCCTCTCGTCGTACTTAATAAACGTGGGCGCATCTGTTCCTGCAGGGCCGGGTACACAGCGCGCTGGGCGATCGGCCGGCCATTCTTATGTGAATATGTATAACCACAAACTTTGACCCATTAAATAGAAGTGGGGATAGCGAAACTCGTTCAGATTATGCGGAAGGAGATTTGTCCAATTGTCAAATCACAATCCTTTCCTTCGTATAACTTCGTATAATTGTCGAGACTACCGAAAACATGTTTGCCGAAGAAACGTATCAACCTCGGATAGATGCCCGTCACCATTCAATGGTGCATGATGTAGTACAAACAAGCCAATTGGAAGATGAAGCTTTCAACAGTGAATCATACTAATAGAGAATAAAGAAAACAGGGAAATAGTATTTCTTACCACTAAGCAAAGAATGGCAGCTACAGTTTCTATCAACAGGGCGCCGATATCGAACGTAGGAACTGAAACAATGGTATATAATAAGACCGCACTCGTAGAAAAGAATCTCTCTATCGACGATTCAAAAATGAGGTTTCAACCCCATGGATCAAGAATTCGCTCAAAGGGTCCACGAAGATCCTCCCCTCGCTGACACTTTTCCGGGAGAGTGAAAACACCTCCAGGAAAACCTCCCCTGCGATCTCCAAATTCCTCTGGTGCTTCAAAAGCTATCCTCTGATCTAGCAATTATTACACTTCTGCTTCTACACAAGTAACTGTTCAACGCTCCATTCATGCCATTCAAGATTTCCGCCCTCAAAAGTTGGTGAACTGCACAATGCATACCCGAGTGAACGGTTATAAGTCCCACTACAGCAAACCTAGGCTTTGATTTGGCAAATGCTGTTTTGAAAAATTAGCGTACCGAGAGTTTCAACAAAGTTGAGAACTGAATGAAAGGTGCGATCGCGCCAGTAGGGGAGGCATGCTCTATTAGAGAAGTTGTACTCACCCAAAGCTGAATTCTTTGATGGAAACCAATATGGCGGTGAGCAAAATCTGCAAGAAGAGTTTAAATTGTGTCGAGAATCTCAAATCAATGAAACAAATATCGTGATTTTCAGCAGTTTCTGCGCAAACTCAACCCATTTAAGACAAATGTCACACCGGTCTTTCTCAAGATACATTCAGCGCACACCAAGCTGCACGCTCTAGTAGCACGTTGAAGACACGAATGCTTCCCATATCCGCTGTTTATATTAATCATTAAACCCTTATTTTAACCTTACTACATTCCTCTATACTATAACGCGCTTTGTCTTGCCGTTCTTCATGAAATTCCCTAGCGTCCCGAAGATCGGCCTGGAGAGACCGGGTCAAGTGTGGGATGGGTGGGCAAGGTCTCACGTAATACAAAACACACATCAGCTAAGCGGAGCCCCGCCCACAGAGGGCGTGGCGTGCGTCGAAATGAACTGTACCGAAGACCAAGATTTCGATTTCAGTGACAAAACGACCTCGAAACTGGGCCAAAAAGTGAGTAAAGGTGCGTTGGTAAGTCACATTGAATTAGGGAGACCCACCCCGGGCCGAGCGTTTCTCCGACCCAAGCAGAGCTTATGAAAAGATTCCAATACCACTCGGTTGGGAGAAAGCCTACAGAGCAGAAAACAATTTGGTGTAGGAGAACAATGCCTAAAGGTACTCTCAGCATACACGACGTTGGCGGAGGTCCGCCCACAAAAAGGCAGGGCGCGCTCTGAAGTGTACAGCGTCTCCTACAAGTCGCTCATAATTCGGGCCGGAGAAGTCTTAGTGAGCCGGAAAAGGTGGATAGAGGTGGTGGAGTGGGAGCCCAAATCACGAGTGGGTGGCGTAGCATTCCAAAGCTGGCGAAAGTCGACACGAAAATTCATCACTCGGCTCCAAGAAGTCCAGGAGGCCAGGAAAAAGGTGGATAGAGGTGGTGGAGGAGTGGAGGCCAGCTGTCATCGGTGGGCGGGACATGACCAAAGTGGGCGGAGTTTGCGACGAAAATTCATAACTCGGCTTCCAAGAAGTCCAGCAGCCGGGAGGACGAAGTAATGTGCAAAGACATGCCACCAAACTGCCTGTGGTGGGCGGACATTACCAGTGGCGAGTTCGCGCCCCCCAAAGTTCATTAACTCGTTCGAAAGAGTCCCCGAAGACTGGGAAAAAGGATCAATAAGACGATTTAGTGAAGGAGTGTGAGGCCAGCTGTCATGGTGCGCGGACCACGACCAAAGTGGGCGGAGTTTGCGACGAAATTCATAACTCGGTTCCAAGAAGTCCCGGAGACCGGGAAAAAGGTGGATAGAGGTGGGTGAAGGAGTGGAGCCCAACTGCTGTTGGTGGGCGGGGCATTTCCAAGGTGGGCGGAGTTCTCCACAAAACTTTGTGACTCGGCTGCAAGAAGTCCGGAGAGAAGTGTGCGAAGGAAAGGAAGTGAATTTCTAATGGTGTGCGGAGGATACACCAAAAAAGCAGGATTCGCCGCCAAAAATATAAATCGGCTCAGAGATAGTTCAGAGATTCGGTAAAAAATGGGAAGAGGTTGGCGAGGAGAAAAAGATAAAAACCCAAAGAAAAGCTAGTTGGACATGCAAAAACATCGCGAGTTTACCCACGCAGCCAAAGTCGTCCGAGGCAGTCCGAGCCGGAAAACGTTGGAAAAGGGAGCTCACAGCTCGTGATTAAGCAATAGGGCCAATAGGATATAGAATCAATCTGAAATCAAGTAATCCAAGTTATTGGCCAATCGCCCAACTCAACCCTCAAACTCTCCCTATACTTGCCGCAAACTGTGCTGGCCGCGCAAAAACTGTTCGCGCGCCACTGTCAATAACACAAATCACTATACGCACTTACTGTTGCCTCTGTATGTTATCTTTCACGAAATACGATACTACCTAATGTATGACGAGAAAAGGCCGGGTCGAGTTTGGAGCGATAAGAGGCGTGATCCAGGATGTATACAGCGCACATGAGCCGAGTGGAGCCTCGCCCACAGTGGGCGTGACATGCGCCAAAATCAGCAGCACCGATTACGGAAATTTGTATTTGATTCCAACAGCTTAGGAAATAGGTACAAAGTGTGCCACAATTTGATAAGCGCGGGCGGGGAATTCTCTAAAACGGCGGTGCTCAATGAAGAAAATTCATAATTAGTTAGGAGAAACCTAAAAAGCAGACGAAACTGGCATAGGAAAACAATGTCTAGACTGGTCCAGCATACATGAAGTGAGCGGAGGCGAACTCGCAGGGCTCCGCGTTCTAAATTTGGTAATGTCCTCTACAAATCCTCGTAAAGCTGTATTGAAAACCTCCAATAAAGCGGGGAAACAGTGGATAAAGGCTGGCGAAGGAAGGAGGTAAACGGTCAGTGGGTCGCTAAACGTGCATGCAAAGTGGGTAGAGGTCAACGAAGAGAGTAAGGTCACTCTATCGGTTGGTGGGACGTGCACAAAAGAGGGCTGGGTTCGCCACGGAACATCAAGTTCCATTGCGAGAAGTCTCAGAGAGTGGAAAAAGTGAACAGAGTTGGCGAAGAGAAGGAGGTTAACTGTTCGGTAGGCGGAGCAGGTACGGGAGGGGCGGAGCATCCCACGACAACTCATAAGCCAGTTACGAAAAGTTTCAGAAACCCGAAAAAAAGTGTATGAGATGTTAGCGAGGAAGACAACTCAAGCGCTATAGATGAATGAGACGTGCTTAACAGTGGGCGAGGTTCGGGTTTACATCCCACGTTCTTGGCGATTGAAAATCTCCGAGACGGAATCGAGAATGGTTGGCAAGGATTTTGTTCCCTGCAGGAGCCCTGCATGATGCGCACGTCAGCGTGCAGAGCGCGGTGGTAAAAAAAATAACAGTTCCGGAAGGTCACCAAACTGAGGAAGATTTGAATGATTGGAGATTGACCTAGGAGGATTGATCAAACGCTAATGGTACGGTGGATTGGTGAGACTAATCAGCAAACGCGTTTACTGTTGCTTAAAGGCAAAAGTCGGGCTCAATAAGGGGGTATTATGGCGATTGAAACTGAGTATAGAGATGCGAAGTGGAACGACAGTGGAGAAAAACTGAGAAAAACCGTCGACAAGGCCGTTAACAAAACCCTCTTTCCCACTAGCAGTGAAGGAGGCTGGCTTGGGGAAAGAGGCACGTACAAACAAGTTTTCTGGAGATGTCAGTCGTTCTATCGGTTGATACGGCAATCAACCTAGCTGATTTCACACGTTATGCCAGCCACGCACCACTTCCGGAGGTGGGCGGTCCTGGATTGACCAGGCGGCCCTGGATTGAAACGAACGCCGGGGCCTTTAACGGGGTTTTTCAAGGTGGGAAGTTTGCGGCATGTTGCAGCTCCCCACAAATCACAACCTCTTCACCGGAATTACTTCTCTAGCGTTCCTAAGCCGCGACCTTTGCTTTATGCCTGACTGCTGCTCACTAAAACGAGTCCTATCTCTTCTTCATCGCTGGGACGTCCATGTGCTGATCGATTCGTCAATGCTTCATATTTGACTATTGTTTTTATTGTTACTATCACAACCACTTCCATGATCTTGTTTTGCACTGCATGATGATGAGTTTCCTAACTTCCCATATAATCCATCGGTAACTATGCACGTCCGTACTTCAGTCTTATCTTCGCTCAGTAAATACATCTCAAAAATGAAGAACACTTACAATGCTGCCACACAACGTCATAGCAGCGGTGAAGCCGGTACATCTTCGTCTATACGAGTTACAGAGTACTGTAGCAACAGCCCTTTCCATGACCACAGAAACGCTGCCAAATAATGACAAAAACAAAGCACACCATTTGAGCACAGATAGCTCGTCCTGGAACGAATAAGAAAAATTTTCAATCGCCTTTCAAAATACTATTTCCCACTGGATGCAGATTGTGTTCTCTCAATATGAAATATTCGAGATTACGGATATTTTTTGAGCATTTGCAATGAACTGTAAAAACGAAAAAGGCACCATCAATTGTTGTTTTCGTTCGGATGAAATGAGTAAACTTTTCTTTACTCAATATTGACTCCCCGGTTAGTGATCAAACGAAAAAAGAAAAACGTTAGAATATCCGAAATAGGTCCACAATAATGAATTCCTTTTCGTTAGTTCAACTTAGAAGCCAGGCTGTGACGGATTACTTGATCTGAAGTGCTCCCAGTGGACTCAAGGTCACCCTACGTTGTACACGTACCTGACGGGGGTCGCTAGTTTGTTGAATTTGGGAGGGGAGTCGTACTTATTTTCCGTAAGACGAAAAGTAACAGTACTGAGTGAAGCGTTGCGGTGAATATATTATCCGTTTTGCCGCGATGAGTATATACTCCTCCACCTAGAAATTTTGTGTGCAAAATGAAGTAATGACAATTTCATAGGGTGAAATGAGGGGAAAGAGTTATAATATTTGCGGTGCTGTGGTTTATATCAGTATACCCCCTACCCCCGTTCGACGCTGTTTTTTCGAGGGAAAAATATGTAGGTTGTGGAGAAGGGGTCGTATGTGAAAGCTGTCGTGAAGGAGGGGGTAGTAAAAATTTTGCAAAAAGTCCCAACGATAGGACCGACTCTGTGCTGGCTCCATGCCAACAACCGAGACGGCCATAAAAATCAGCAGTGGAAATTGATTTCTTCTAATTTTCCTATCTTTCCTGCTTATTTCTGCTTTTTTGTTTGTTTTTCCTATTTTGAAAATTTGATTTCTAGAATGGATGGCAAAATTCCTAATAATGGTCGCAGCATGAACTTTGATGTTGAACTTGGCAGTCGAAAATCTAGGCGTCTACCGCCTGAACCTTATCAAACCGCCCCGTCACTTTCTGATCCGCGCCTGCGTACTGCGTTCATAGTATCTTGATCATTCTCCTCTTTTGTATGCGCAGTGTATTCGGGTTTTGTTACGAACAGTAGTTGAAGTTGAAAGCGATTTAGCCGACACAATAAATTGCTGCGCAGCAGACTTACACTTGTACGAGACCTTGACCATCACAATCACCTGTACCTACCTTTCAATTATTTGTTCTATCAGGAAGATGAAATTTGGTAGGCGTGGATACTTGCGATCAGAGACATTATCACAAGACCATGCTTATAACTGCGAGCGGTTTTACTTGCCACTAACCATATTTGTCTGATCAAAAAAAAATTCGAACCACAATGGCGTCATTCCTCCTTGCTATGCAGCATACTCTAACAGTAACAAGGATAATTCGGTCGACTGCTCCAATTGAAAATCCGACTCCAGTGACAAACAATGTCGACCTGTAATCGAACTAATCATATGGTATGGTTTTCCTGAACACCTTCGCTAAATATGTGAAGGTAGAACTTCCTGGAATGCAATCTATGAACACAGAGTACATCATCAGCTTTTCAATTACTGGGGCTGAAGCTTCCTCACCCCTACTGAAAATTCTCCTGAAAAATGTTTTTTTAACGAAGCTATTCTCCTTCAATTATCAAAAACATTTTTGCTACTGTTTTCAACATATCAAATCCATATTGTACGTATTTCTATTAGCACCAATTTGTACCAGTGGAGTTTGCAACCGATTAACCTCTCCCGCCTTGTTATGATGCTCAAGATCCAAATTTGCATAACTATAATAGTATCGTGAAGATACACTATAATTAGGCTGGTGTCAGAGCTCGCTATTCATCACGCGATTCACGCGGATCGCGCGACGGGCCGCGGACTCTGACACCAGCCCTTTTTTCCGGCGCAGTGGGCACAATGCTGGCTTCGCTAGCGCAAGGTCCCGAGTTCAAATCCTGACTGCGAGAAGATTTGTTACCTTTCCTAGAAGCACTGTGTGAGTCTAAAAAATTCTTCTGGTCGGCGAGTATTTCAGTTTTTGACATTATTTAGGTTCACAATAAGCATTCAACTTTGTAGAATTTTGAATTTTATAGCAAATATGGTGCTTTACCAAAAATTGCTCATAACAGTATTTTACTTCGCATCAATTCAGATCAGAAAGCAAAAGACGGAGGAGAAGGGGTTCCGCTTACATGATGGACCCTGATCGTCTACAGTAAAATAGGAGGTAAAAATGAACAAATAAAGCATAGGTCAGCAGCGAGCGCCTAGGGAACATAAGCATATATTTCGTTATCATTTTTACGAAGTTGGATCAATGATTCAAATTTGGCCAGAATCCAGGTAACTTGACCTCTGAACATGAATATCTCATTTGTTTGATAAGAAAATGCTGGGCGCGTGCGATATGTACCTTACGTGCATTCATGGGCTTGAAGTTGAAGAACTTCTCCCAAACTTCCCATGCGAACCATCATAGAAAAACGCTGATGAAAAAACGTGCTCAAAGGCTTTTTAGCACTTTCAAAAAAGCAAAAGAGCATGTTAGGTTGAAATCGACCCAATCATAAGCAGGGTCCCAGCAGAGTCAACCCTGCGTTGCGCAGTTCGCAACGGCACGTTGAGAGATCCTCAACGCACGCTGTATGGGCGGAGACACAGACGGCTCGAGCATGCGAGTGTGAATGTTCGCGCGAGAGAACGTGTCTAATCGGGCGAAACTGCGCAACGTGGCCGTTGAAAACTGCGCAACGCAGGGTTGACTCTGGTCACCAGTTTGTTCGTACAAGTACCAGCAAAGGGGTCGTATTTATCCCACGGGATGGGGGTCCTTTCACACGCAAGGTGGGGGAGAGGGGTGTCGTAGCAGTGGAAGTCGTGGCGATAGCGACTTAGAAATGAAGCAGCGAATCAGAAGCACAGGGCAGGCCTGGCGTATACCACGGTGGGCCTGCCCTGTGCTTCTGATTCGCGTAGGTGGAAAGCATTTGAAATTCGTCAAATATGAAAAAAAAGTATTTTTTGAAAAGATACCTGAAATTCACGTGGAGGTTCTTTTGGGAAACGCAAATATAGGACAAAAGGACGAAAACTGGCAGAAATGCTATATTCAGAAGTGTTTCGACGAAAAATAATAAGTAGTTCCACAGGTCCAAACGCGATGCATCCAATTCCATTTCTGAAGAATTGATTTCTTTTAACCTTGATGTATGCATCCATGATAGACTGCTTTTCCACGAAATAGTCGGCTCTCGTGGTTCGTCAATGCTTTTTCTATCCTCTTCACTATAGAGTGATAGACCTGTCGTTCTACGTACGTCTGTCACGAATCCTTAGTACTACCGGGAGATTCACCTGGAGAGACCGAGTCAAGTGTGGGTAGATGCTCATGTTCCGAGAAGCACAAGCCCAGATCAGCTAAGCGGAGCCCTGCGAACGGGTACCCCCCAGGAGGCCCGTCGCGCGGCAAAAAGGCAAAGTCAGCGGACGAGTCGCGCGCGTACTATAGGGATTTCGCGTCAAGTTAAAAGAGTGTCCCATTGCACGTCCTACATCGCACATCACGCGCTGCAACTCGTCCGACTCTGCCTTCTTGCCGCGCGACGGGCCTCCTGGGGGTACCCCCTAGAAACCGGTGAAAATGGATGAATGTTTGCATTGAGAAGCCAGATAGAATAAGAAAGACCCATCTGCGGTGGACCTGGCGTTCTTCAAGAAGCTACTCAATGGGAATCATAACTCCGTTAGGAGCAGACCTAAAGAGCAGAAAAGATGGGTGTAGGAAAGCAGTGTTCAAGGTGTTTTTCAGCACAATGAGGTGAGCCTGAGCGGAGACACGCTCACCTCGGTGTTTTGTACAAGTCTTCATGATTCGACCTCGCGAAGTCCAAGAGACTGGGAAAAAGTGGTTGGAAGTTGCAGAAGGAAAGCAAGCCAACTGCTATTGGTGGACAGGGCATGCACCAAGTGAGCGTAGATTGCCATCCGATTTGGAGACAGCCAGAGACCGGCAAAACAGTGGACAGAGGTTTCAGAAGTAGGTAAGGGAAACTGCTACTGGTGGAAGCGGCGTGCACCTAAGCGGGAGAGATCGGCTTTCAAGCTTGTAATGCTGTTCTAAGTATTCAGAAGACTGGAAAGGGTATAGCAATTGGCTAGGGAGTACAGTCAAATGCTATTGGTGGGCAGGGGTACACCGAAATGGGCCCTGCTTACCAACAACTGATAAACTGTTGCAGAGACAGTCAAGAGATCGGAAAAAGCGGCTGTTACACCAAAGTGGGCGGAGCCAAAATCCAGAATGGCCATCAGGACCAGGCATAGCATGAGACCAAGAAGAAGTATCGAGCCTGAAAGGGCAAGTCAAATATTCGTTGTCGACGAGCCGAATTTACGGATTCTGGCCGCAGCGCTCCATATCGCCTCAGAAGTACGCTATGCGCACAACAGCATGCGGCGCCAGCTGGTGTATAGCAATCTGTTTGCATCAAAGCATCACGTGTGTAGCATTGAAAAGCCGTTAACTATCACCTCTAAGAGGTCGAAATTCTAAATCTGCTATATCAAAGTTCAACCGAGCAGTTGCTAGGCAAAGTCGCGAGTATGTCCTGTTAATCCTCCTCTATGAGTTATAATTTGCGTACGTCAAAGCAATTCACGAGTGTAGCGTTGAAGTTTCGACAACTGCCAATTTCTGGACGAATTGATTGCTAGGCACCTGTGAAATGATTGTTTCACGTCGGGAGCGGAGTGGGACTATTCTTCAATTAACCCCATTCAATGAGCAAATATCACGAGAGAGTCCTAACTAAGTAGAAATTCATACCAGGAAAAAAAACTCTATAAATGACTACTTCCAACGGTCACATGCAGTAGTACTCGCTGGGAATGAACCCATAACATATTGTGGGGGGGGGGGGGGCAAAAGAACAATCACTCCTCCACTCCGAAACGGAATCAAATGCTGAAATCGGATGCTTCCAACTGAATATAGAAGTGCACGTTCTATTCTGTCGAGGAATTTCACGACAGCCACGGAAGACTTCAGGAGAATTTCACACGAGATTTTCATGGGATTATAATGCACGGTTCAAGCTCATCGAGGTTCTCGACGGATAATAGACTATTAAGATGATGTCTAAGGAGCTAGTCGAAAGAGGTCTTGCGGAGTTACGAGCTTATAAACTATTCATTGAGCAGATTAAAGGAATTTTGCAGCAGCTCCAAACTGGAGCGATTCCTTCAGGCTCTTTTTTATGCCCTCACCTCCCATCGTCTTCACTGAAGGATAAAAGGAAAGAAAAGAAACTGACGTAACTAGAAACAGTGTGGGCAAAGCGAGAGAGCAACTTCACAAACGAGGGAAAAATGTTCAGAAACCACGAGCGCAGACATTTTTCGGATATTGGACGCACAGTTAGACTTAGTTCACCCCACACGTTCTGAATCCTGAAGTGGCCTTGTGTGTGCGATCTGCCTAATTACCGGGAGAGGTTGCTCCGATCAGAATGGTGGCAAGCGGCACTTGTAAAGGCACGTCCCAGGATCATAATGGAATGGTTCTCGCACACGAAAATGAAACCATCATTGGCGAATTGGTCCGGAAGTAAAGAAAAAAGAAAAAATCCGTCGAAAACGCATTAGTTTAGTGATTAGTCACTATTACTACGTCGCGGCTGTGCTGAACGCGAGAATGAGAGCGGACAAAAGAGCTGAGATGGCGCTCAGCCAGATGATAGAACGTCAAGTATAGAACATATGCTGCGCCAGGTACATACCAGAATGGTTGAGAGAAAACTGAAGCTGTTGAAGCGGTGTTTGCAAGCTCTTGGCATCCTTGTTACGCACTTTGAAACCAACGAACGAGACATCTTCGACCATGAGCAGCTCTACTTCCTAACAAAAAGTGCTCATCTGCACGAGCTCATGCTGGGTTGTGCCTTCGAATTCACTGCTGCATCCTTCTGGAAGGGCCTACTCTTTGTTTTGGACCCCCTCAGACGATGCCACTCATCTGGAATTCGGTCTCAAAGCGAAGTGTATCCGAAGCGGCATTGAAGACTTGACTCCTCCAAAATGCGAAATATTTACGAATAGTATTAGGTTGTCTCATAAATAGTGTCGCTTTTTTTCAACCAAAAAATTTTCATCCAAATCCTCATGCTTTTACATCGAGTTATATACCATTCGAAAGAGAATTGTCTGCTCTACAAAATATCGTGTTCTTCTTCCATCTATGTTCAATGGTTTTCAAATTTTGAGGCATGCGAAATGGGAGGTCCCGCCGACAAAAATTGACCAAACCGACAACTAGCTCTAACTTTATGTTCCCTTCGGAGAAATCAATCAATGATGTACCCTCTACTTACTCATGACCTCTTCTGAACATTCCACCCTTAGGTTGCCGAAAAAGGTTTGCCCTGTTTCTTTTCGAATTGGCCGACCGATAAGCCATGGCAATTTTCAAATTGAAATTCTTCCTCTGAAACGCTATTGTTTTATATCAACTGGTATATCTTTTGTGAGCACTTCTTCTGCTCTATTCGCTCATTTGTTTTGTTTTGATGTTTGTTAGGAATTAGCTCGAATTTTAGGGTTTAGGAGTAAGGTGCTTTGTCCACGAAAGTGACCGCATTTCTTTGAAAAAATTATCCTTGAGAAGATGAGAAAATCAACCAGGCGTACATTCCTAACTTAGTCACGACTTGTTCTTTAAATTCTACTAGTTTTTCAATGTCTCGGCTGTAAAAAAATTTCGACCTCGATCTCAGGTAATGGTGCTCAACCGTCGAGTTCTGGTTGAAAAACCAGGTCTGGAAATGGAATGATGCGACTTGTTGGGAAACCTAATAGTGTAATGTTTAGAAGAGGTCATGCATAAGTAGAGGGTACATCATTGATTGATTTCTCCGAAGGGAACATAAAGTTAGAGCTAGTTGTCGGTTTGGTCAATTTTTGTCGGCGGGACCTCCCATTTCGCAGGCCTAAAATTTGAAAACCATTGAACATAGATGGAAGAAGAACACGATATTTTGTAGAGCAGACAATTCTCTTTCGAATGGTATATGACTCGATGTAAAAGCATGGGGATTTAGATGAAAATTTTTTGGTTGAAAAAAAGCGACACTATTTATGAGACAACCTAATACATTCCTACGATTGTCAACGTACGGTAGCGCCTCAAAAGTTCCGAAAACTTTTTTTTATTTTTTTATCTAGCGTGGCCGAAAACGAAATTGTCCTGAATTCACACATTAAGTATAGAATCAAATTTAGAATACGATGTGCTACAAAATTTCTCCTCTCAAACGAAAACCATGATTGAAAATAATTTTTTGAGATATTTTTTTTTTCCAGAAACGGCCGCAGCCCTCTAGAATTTTTGAAACTCGTCAATTTCGAAGCAAGTACACCACAAATAGCGCCGCCAATCCACATCAGAAATGAGTTAACTGAGTGAGAAAATTTCTTATGCTAGCATCACTTTATCATCATGAAATTGATTAGAACATCATTTCATGACTTTGAAATCGAACCCAACACATTTTGAACATAATCAAATTGTTTTGTAGGATTCTGGAATGTGTATATAGATGATGGATTGCACGACATCCCCGCTCTCTTCCCTGGAATTCGAAGCTCAACTGAACATCAGATCTGACTTGTTCCCATTCATGAAAGCGTCCTTTTTTTTGGGTTGAGAAACGGCCCCATGAGGGAATGTGCATAGGTTATTGTATCGGATGTAAGGATGTTTTTTATGAAGGGGCATTCTATTCATGTTTTCTCGACTCCAATAACGCTGGGAACATCTTATAATATTGCTTCTACAGAGATTGAATCATGGAGAAACTATGCCAATGTTCGTAATAACTTCGTATTCCGGACTGCAGGGCTTAAAAATAATCTCCGTTGGAGAATCTGCTTCCTTTTTACATGAATTCATTTTAAAATTACATAATACTATGTATTGAAACTAAATTTCACAGAAAGAAGTAAACATTGCGGAGTAGGGTTTATATTGTTGAGGGAAACAAGGAGTTTCCAAACTTTTGACGCGCTGTTTCCTTCTGAAAAATCCTATTTTTCAAGTGCGATTTCTGATTTTGAGAAAGTATGTTGCATCTCGTATTCCAGACTCAATTTCGCATGTGACATTCAAATTCGAGACATTTTG